GGACTGTTGCCCGGCTTGAAAGACCAAACAGTAAAGTTCTTAGAAAGCTAACATGGAAGGCTCTCTTCACCTCACAACACTTATTTCACTTTTTAGAAAATCGACGTAAAATTCGCAGAATGCAAGATTAATCATTCCAAAGTGAACAATTCAGTGGCATTTTGTATCTTCACCGTGGTGTGCAGCCATCCTCACTGTCTAGTTCCAGAGTATTTTCATCATCCCCAAAGGAAACTCAGTACCCTTTATGCAATCGCTCCCCATTCCCCCCACCCCAGCCCCTGGCACCCACTCATCTGCTTTCTATCTGAATGGACTTGCCTGTCTGGACACTTCATATAAACAGAATCATACACATGTGGTCTTGGGTGTCTGACTTCTTTCATTTAGTATAATGTTCCCAAGGTTCATCCACGCTGGAGCAGGTGTTGGTGCTTTATTTTTTAAAAAATATTTTTACTTATTTATTTGAAAGAGAGAGAGCACAGAGGGAGAAGACTCCCCGCCGAGCGGAGAGCCCGAGGCAGGACCTGATCCCAGGACCCTGAGATCATGACCTGGGCCGAAGGCAGACGCCCAACCGACTGAGCCACCCAGGCACCCCCAGCGCTTTATTTTTATGGCTAAATAATATCTCATTGAATGGAAATACCATAATTTGTTTATTCATTCATCCATTGATGGACATTTGGCTTTTGTAAATAGAAGGTGCAACATTTTTAAATAGGACCAAAAAATAACTAAATTTGACTACATTAAAATGATAAACTGTTCAACCATAAAGAGGATTAAGAGAGTGGAGTCAGGGGCTCCCGGGTGGCTCAGTCGGTTAAGTGTCCGCCTTTGGCTCGGGTCATGATCCGGGATCGAGCCCTGCATTGGGCTCCCTGCTCAGAGCAGGTCTGTTTTTCTCTCTCTCTCTGCCCCTCTCCCCTCCCCCGCCCCCTGCCCTGCCTCCTGGCTTGCTCTCTCACTTGCTCTCTCTCTCGAATAAATAAATAAAATCTTTATTTTATTTGGTGGGCTGTATATATTTCACAATGAAGAAAAGGAAAAAAAAAAAAAAATAATGGAATGTTTGGCCATAACAATGGTTTGTGGGGCTTGGAAGTTTCAGGAACAAAGAGGCCTCCAGTGGCTTCCTCTCCTTTTTGAGGCCAAGGATCGGGTGGAGTTTCTGCCAGGAGGGAGAGGAGGCCCTGAGGCCTGGTGGGAAGTGAGGACCATCCCCCCTAGGGGAGGCAGCTTCCTGGGAGGGCCATCCTGGGGTCCACGGTCATTACCTTCTGTGAGAAGACAGGGCAGCCCAGCAGTGTCCACACACCACAGCTGGAGGCACATCCCTCACAGGCACATCCCTTCTCTGTGCTTCACCCCAGGCCTCCAGACTCCCTGCCTCTGCCTGACCTTCCCTCTGACCCTCCGTCTCTTCTTTCTCACTCACTCATTCTGTTTTCTTTGCCAGTCTGTCTGCTTATCTCTGTCTCTCTCCCTGCCTCTCCCTGTCTCTCTCCTTTCTAGAAGCAGAAGCTTTGGGCACAGCCACACCCCCTTACTGTAGGCCCACGTGCCTTCTGAACCAAGCGACGGCAAGAGACGACCAAGGAGGGCTGGGCTCATCTCAGTCTGGAATGGACCCACAGAGGCACCGCCACACTCAGGTAGACACCCTAGGCCCTCTGGGGTCGGCAGCGGCACGGCCCAGGACAGTTAGCAAACAATCAGAAAGCCAGGGGAGGGTGGGTACACCCCTAGGAGAGGGGAACCTTGCCTCATAAGGAGAGGGGGCAGCTGTGAAATGTAAATAAGGGAGAGGCCAGGATGGAGAAGGACCCAGGCAGTGTTGGAAAGAGCTTCTGGGAAGGCAGACTTCACCTCCAGGACATACACAGGTACCTGCAGCCAGAGAGAGACCCCGACCTTGTCTGCTGAGCTGAGCATCCATCAGACGCTGCCCCTGCCCTCAATCCCTGAAGACCTCACCATCTCACATCTCGGGCATGGAAGAAATGAGCACCATAACACGAGTAAAACGCCAGCACAGTGTCCCACACACAGAAGGTGGTCAATACTGGCTGACGTTTAGACACATGTTTTCCATTGCACAGGGCTTGTCTAAACCAGATTTTCTCTACGAATAGTTCAGCAGAATATCTGTGATCAGAACTCCCTGTAGAGGAAACATTTGCTTCTGGTTCTAAAAAGTCCAGCAGGATTTTGTGCAGATATCTCTTTGGCTGACTCTAAAATTCACATGAAAAGGCCAAGGAAATGAAGAATAAAGTGGGAGGAATGATATTACACACTCCTTTCACAGCTGTATTGAGATATAATTCACATAGCATGCACTTCACTCATTCACTCGTTTAAAGTGTGCAGTTCGGAGGTGCCTGGGTGGCTCAGTTGGATGGGCGACTGACTCTTGATTTCGGCTCAGTCATGATCTCTGGGTTGAGAGACTGAGTCCCGAGATGGGCTCTAAACTCAGTGTGGAGTCTGCTTGTCCCTCTCCCTCCCCCTCTCCTTCCCCTCTGCCCCTTCCCCTGCTCACCCATGTGTGCATGCTCTCTCTCTCTCTAAAATAAATAAAATACATAAAATCTTTTTAAAAATAAAGTGTGCAGTTCAGGGTGTTTTAGTACATTCAGAGGGTTGTGCAACCATCACCACAATCAATTTTAGAACATTTTCATCACCCCAAGAGAAACTCCATACCCAAGCAGCCACACCCTCCAACCCCCAGGCCTAAACAGCCTAATCTACTTTCTTTCTCTGTAGATAACCCTCCGCTGGACATTTCAGATGAATGGAACCACACAACATGT